CCAGGCCCTTGGAAGAGACTGTGAGTAATTTGTACTGGTGGAAGCTGCGGAGGCTCCGAGGCCAAGCTCTCCTGAATCGGCGTCGTAGTCGTCCTTTTGCCTCTGTATAAACCTTCGGCGCTCTGCTCCGATGTCTGAGTCTCCCCACTGGGCTTCAACCCACTTTGTGGACGACCTTCCGGACCAGTTGTCTCCGGTATAGGTTGCATCCTCCTCCGTGTTCGGGTAGATGTCGTCGAGGAGGTCGTCGAGGCGGGTTCTTTCCCACTCGGTGAGCTCGTCCCCTTCCCACTCGGTGTCAGGGCTTTCTTCGCCCGCGACCAGATGCCTGGTGCCTTGTCCTCGGCTTCTGTTGGGGCTTGACTCGCCTTCGACTGAAGACTGGTCGAAGAGACCTGGTAAGGGCGAGTCTCCTCTGTCGAGGAGTATGCTCCGGGTATCGGTGATGTCGACGGAGTCGGTTGACTCGTTGGTGGCGCTTCTGTAGGAGTCGGTGCTCGACTCTGAGGATCGCGAGCTGGGTCGCGACGATCCGTAGAGGGACTCTCCATAGAGAGAGTGTAGCTCTGGCCTGGGAGTTTCTGGAACTTGTAGCGTTTGCTGTGAAGCCGCGGGGATGTCTATCACCTGCGGGGGGTATGCGGGTACGCTGGGCACGTAATGGAAGGGAAGTTGAGGTCGAACCCTTCTCTGTTGTCGGCAACAGCGGAGTGTGTAGTACAAAGAAATGGATAAGAAAAAGGCGGTAAAAGTTACGAAGATTGCAGGAATGGCGTCGGACCAGGGCATCCGTATAGTGATCTATCCTTGGCGTAGGTCGACGATTGACCATGCAAGCTGGTATACCGCAAGAATGGTGAGAACGATGAGGAGGGCGATAATCAAACTAAGGTCGGTCTCGTAGTTGGATCCGTTCATTAATTGGATTTCGCAGGTTTCGTCGGGAGGGGTGCTCGTTACTATTAACAGCAGAACTGTTAAAATAGAGGCGAGCTGGAGAGCGAGAATAAAGGGTTTCGTGTTGGGATACGTGATTCCTAAACGAGGCGGGGATATAACGAGTACAGGGCGACCAGCAAGCTTGCTAGCAACACTGCCGGTATTCCGAGCGCGATTAGGAGAAAGGTTAAGTATACAGTCAAGAAGACTGCAAGGAGTAGGTCGTCGTAGAGGATTGATTCAACAATCAACCGGGTTACTAACAACAGAAGAAGTAGCCGAGGGGGTATTAGCCACAAGGCTAGTGCAACGAGATAGTGTATCGGATGAATGATGACGGTGAGTGCTTTCCCGTGGGTCCACTCGCTGTACGTTGACAAGCACTAGGTTGTCCACACGAACGTAGGCGATGACCTCTCTGGTCAAGCAGGGTAATTTCTCGTATAAGAGTTGGGCAGCGCTCTTTCTCGGAAGTGACGCTGAGCAACGTAGATCGAGCTTCGGCTAAATGTTAGCCACTAACTCTTATCGGCTTAGATCGTACTAGGATCCCTACTCGCACTTCGGTAGGAGATACTCTAGCAAGTCAAAGACGACTCAAGTCGATGGGACAGATAGTCACGAAGAACGGAGTTCGATATTAGGTAGAATAAACCTTAGCCGAAGCTGGGGTTTAGACCAGCTAAGGCTCTACTTAAATACACGTTGCGTAGGCTAAAGATAGTGCCACAGCAGCGTCCGATCGAAATCGCAGCATAGGGTAAGCGTGAATACGTAAGAAAAGAAAAGAAAAAGAAAAGAAGAAGAGAAAAGAAAAGAATAATCGTAACATGCCCTGAACCTGACCAGTAGGTTATTTCTTACTCTGCACTCTTTTCCTCTTCTAATATTGACAATGTAGGCACTTCAACAAGCCCTTCAATGCCTGCTACTGCTTCTGGTATATTATGATATTAACCCTATTTTCCTTATCTTATCTTATTCTTATCTCCTAGACCCACAATAATCTATTAGCACATCTCCTACCCATTTACCTGATTGCCATCACCCTGCTGATGACTTATCAACAGCTGCCACCTCCTGGATGACCAACATACCACATGTGCCATCATGCTTCTCTTGATAATATCATGCTTCTTAGTGGTTTGACAAGAGTCAACCACTAGTCAAGAGCAGTCTATAGGATATGGTCTATTCAGATGGAGTCCTGTATTAATGCAGGTAATATGCGTTCTTTACTCTCATTTGTTGGAGACACACTTTTTTCAGTATCCTCACTTCTCATTCATTGCAGAGCACACTTCTCAATGCACATGCCCCAGTAGGCACTATTCTTAGTATGAGTCTAACATGTATTTAAGCTAGCCTATGCTGTGGCCTTAGACCTTAGCTTCAGCTAAGGTTATATACTTCCAACTCTTACTGATCTCTCTGGTTCATGACTAACTTGTTCATCACCATCCACAAGAAGTTTCTCCTACATCTTTGGGAGATGTAGCTCTCAGATTCTTGCCTGCACCCACCACTGGTAAGTGTTGCATAAAGTTTCTAAACTCAAATTTATTCTCTTGTTTAGCTATCAATCTTTATAGGCCTGTCACAAGGCATCCATTCACTCATGCTCCTCTCTCTGCTTCTCTATGGTGAGTTCTAACAGCAGATGCATCCTATCTGGACAACAGCCCCCTGCACAAGTCCATACTGGATTCCACTGCTCTCATTGCAGGGCATTCAACTCTGCTGTTGGCCAAAGTGGTGAAGTATAGTATGTAGTCACTGCTGGGCAACAGGTTGGAATATTTGCAAGCTGGTATGTCTTCTCATCATTCTAGTTTTCTAGAGACTGACTTTGTTGTAGAGAGGTTGTCCAACCTCTTGTGTCAGGTGTTGCTCATGCCTGTCATAAAAAGTATAAGACTTGTGCTAAGGCCAAGGAAGCCTTTGAGAACACTCTCACCTAAGGCAAGGTTTATATACTTTTGCTCTTGTTGCTTTCTCCCACTTATTTAGTTTTCTCATTATCTGCTCAAAACAAAAAAAAATCCTCTAAAAAAATCATCTTTAAAATTTATGTAGTTAGATTTAGTTAGATTTAGCTATAGACAAAAATATACTATGATTATACCCTATAACTCCATGTCTCTCTTTTGAGTATGCTAATATAATTATACTGTAGCAGTTTCCTTGCCTGTTCAGTATATCTGAGGCTTTGGCAATTCCCTGCAACTGTACAGTTCTGGCTTTCAGATATCAGCATTTCTGTTTGGCATCCATACAGCTTCAGTAATTTCCTGTACAACTGTACAGTTCCACTTTGGGCTGGACTTTGGGCTGGCTACTGTTAGAAGCCCAATTTTCTCTGCCATCTTAATAGTACAACCTCCATAGTGCACATTGAAGTAGATGAAGACATGATATGAGTATTCTTTGCTTGTACCTTTTCTCATACTGATTGGATTTAGTGCTGTTGCACTTGCAATAGTTTGGTGGCACAATCTCAGGTTCAAATATCCTAAAGGCTAGAAACATCATATAGAGAAAGGGAATACCATTTATAATAAGCCTGCTGCACCAATGCATGAGTAGCAGCTTGTTCATCTGGCATATGGTGCTTGCATGGGTGACCACGAAAATGACAGTTAGACACTGAAGAGAGTAACTGAGGCAAGGTTAAAGGGAAAAATTTAGATCACACCTATAGTAGGCATGTTATCACCATCAGCCATGGTGATTATTGTTAGGTTATGTGCTGTATCCTATTGGGGTCTCAAAAAGGCATGAGGATATATTCTGCATCTTTTGGATTCTGTTGATACTAATTAGTTGGACAGGATCAAGACATTTTTATGCAGTATGAGGTACATTAGACCAAAATGAGTCAAATCTAGAGAGAGCAAAGTGAGTTGTGCATGGGAGTGAGTAGAAGAAGATTCAGAATATCTCATAAAGTATGATCACTGATATTGATATTGACCCTGGCTAATGATTTTAATTCAAACCACTATTTGAAGCCCTTTGATGAGAGATGAGAGATTGTTATTTGTAGAAAGTGTGCTCTTATATATTTGGAGTAGTTTAAACAGTTTATTGAAAATCTTGGTGAGTATAACACTGGGGAATAATAATTTTGACATAGATCGAGGTTTTCAAGCACTAGTTCAAGTAGTCTGATTTCTCACCTTTATAGTTCAATGAGTATAAGGTGTATCATTGATTGCACAAAAAAAGGTTGGAAGCAGGGTACATATATTTACCAGATTATGATCAGGTACTACAGATGACTACACTTGAGGATGCAGCAGTGGTTACAGTAGTTAACTGCAGACAATGATCCACTTACTCTTCTTCATGTCAAAAGTTTCAGGCTATGAATTTTACCACACTATAGTTTGTCTGACTGACAATATAGGTATAAAGCAGCCTCCCAATTGATTCCAGGCTTTTATGTGGATGATCAGAGAATGGTGCCACCTGAAGCTACTTAAATGCAAACTCAACAAATTGCCTTAATATTTTCAAGAAACTCCACTGGAAGACCTACCTATTCCCTCCAGATCTCTAGCTATGAAATGTACAGCCTGCCCATAGCCTGGCATCAATCTGGATCCCAGTTGGGAGTTGGAAAGTGAGAATGTGTAAAAGTTTTATTTTGTTGTCATGATTCAAGAACTCAAGGTCATGGTTAGATGGAAATATACCTTATACATTGCTATAGATGCCAATTTTTGGCTAGTCTGGTTTGTGGTGTCAAATTCCAGATAAGATCAGAGTTTGCTGAATGGTGTAGGGTTTATGATCACTCAGGAGAAGTTCAGGAAGCATGTAGCAGAGTACGGCAAACATATACTGTATAACCCAAGTGATTGCTGAGATCACCAAGCTGCCAAGCTCATTACTTTCAAGTGCAGGGTAGAATTGGCCACAAGTGGTGTCACAACCATTGACTGTGCATGTTATGACTTGAGAGGTTTTGGAGAAGTGACAATCCTGGATCATGATGAGAAGTGAATGACACTTCCTTTAAGTTGATTAAACTTATATTCTCTACTAGATAAGTTTGCATGAATTATATTTTCTGCTCGCAAATGCAACAGGGAACACCACAGCATATGGTAGTCTTATATGATATCAACTGCCAATGGTTGAAGAAACTGTGGGAAAGGATAGCCACATATCCTTCTTCAATGACACCATCTCAGGATCCCAGCAACCTCATTTATTTGATACTGAAGTTTCATCTGCCAGCACACATCCCAAGCTGTTATATGAAGTATTCATTCTACAAGATGCCACATGATGGAGAGACAGATGGATGAGGAGACTCCAGAGTGTGGATGGTGTCATCTGAATCAACTTGTCTCTAGTTTGAAGATAATAAGGCCCAGCGGTTATCTGGATATATTGATGATCACATCAGTGACTACAACTGCCATAAATCAGTGCTAATGTATAAGTGGATCTGATTGGCCAAAGCCGCTCAGCCATAACAAGTAGTTCTGATGTGTTTAGAACTGAAATAGACTTTGTCACTTACTTTGAAGTCAAAAGCTGGTGTTTCATTACTTTGATTTAAATTGCATTGTGATGCTCTCTGGAACTGAAGGCTTTAAGTACATTGTTCAGGCCATTGAGAGAACTATCCTGTGGGTGGAAGCTTGTGTGCTCAAGAGCCAGACATTCTGACTTATTACAAAGTTCATTTATAAAGAGATTACTTGCCAATTTAGCTGTATTCTGTTTTTCTCTTTTGATGAAGGTTCTGAGTTTAAAGGTGAAGTTATGGCTCTCTTACATGACCTGTATAACTGTATTGTTGTTTTTTCTACAGCATATCATCCTGAAGGAATAGCTCCAGTTGAGCATCATTATCAGATGATTGTTGATCCATTGTTCAAGTGCACAGGAGATGCTAGGCCTCATTTCCTATTTGCTGTGCTCATTATCCTGCAAGTAACAGTCAGTCATGTAACTAGATTTTCTCCATTCTATTTGCTTTATAGTGCACAACCCATTTTTTTCCTTTGACATGACTGAGATTATATAGCAGACACTTGACTGGGACAAGGTACATACTCATGAAGAGCTGATTGCTATTAGAGCCTTGCAGATTACCTGATGAGATGAGAAGTTAAGAGAAGCAAATGCCAAATTACATGAAACTCAAAAATAAGTGATTGAAGATCTCACAAAATACACTTATTTCAAGTTCAGGTTCATGGATTATAAGGTAGAAATGCATGTCTGGCTTTGGGAATCACAACTGGATGAGATCAAGGAAGAAAAAGATGTATGGATATATTCTAAATTGTATATCATTCATGAAAAGTGGAATCACAACTTTTCCATCTTGCAAGAGCTCAGCAGAGCAATTATCAAAGGTCACATCAATATACATCACTTGAGACTTTTCTACTTTTGTTCTGACAATCAGACCTTGCAGACAAGCCTCCAGCCTCCAGCCAGATGCATAGAACTTGCTGAATATGACTACAGCCTCAATGCAACTTGGAAAAATATTTCTGTCTATGCAAATGAGCTGGAGGATAAATTCTATACATGTTGAGTGTTCCTATTCTTTATCATAATCTATAATGACATTTTGACCTCTTCCTCTTATCAAAAATATCAAAACCTCGGTTTCTCTCTCTCCTTTTCTTTCTTTCTTTCCTCCACCACCATGCTTACCACCATGTATAATGATTGCAATCTTCAGTGCCTTGTACACCTTAACCCTTCTCCATTTGACTCCTTTTCTTACTTTATGGACTCTACTTTCAATTTGCATCTCCTCAGTAACAACCCAGTCTATGATTTTCACTCTACATGTGAGATGGATATTGGCAACTCTTCCAATAGTGAGTATCCAATTGTGAGACACCATGGATACCACATTCCATATCTGAGCCTTGTGGATAACATTAAGTATTGCTTTTTTTTCAAGGTGATCTTTTTTTATATTATTTCTATGATGATTGTGCAGAGTGTTTGTTGGGCAATGAGCTCATTATCTTGTGGTATGGGTTTTTCATCAGGATCATACACTAGCTTGGCATGAAATCTGAAAGATGCTTCACAACCCTAACTCTTTTCCTCTGACATGATACAACTTTGTTAAAGTTCAAGGCATGAAGATAGGACAAGGACCATAGACTGCACCTTGATTCAAGTGTATGGTGCATCATTTTATCTTGAATTCTGATAATTGTATCATGAAGAGACACTGGCCTTTAAGTGTGTATTGACTCTTCAGAATTTGAGTTTAAGAGCCTTGTTATGTATGATCCAAACATTGTCATCTGACTTACACTTCAACAACTCATCCACATGGTTCAGACCAACACCTAGGCCAGCTGACTTGTACTTTCTTTTTCAGTTTGCTATATGTCTCTCTTCTCTTTTACCATCATCTCTACTGCTTTTCCTCCAGTTCCCTTTTGCAGGTTCTTATTTCTTCCAAGCATGATGCCACATTGCTCATGGATCAATGAGCATGCATTTGAGTCTTGTTGCCTTGGGGCTTATATCTTTAAGATCTTGACACCAATATTGAGGTAGCTCACCTCATTAACAATAAAGCTGTTTCAAATGCTAGTAGAAGGATAAGTACAGATCATATGAGTGTCAACTGCATATACCAGTTCATTTTTACTTTCAAATTCACTGATCTTCTCTCTATTTTGTTCCATTACTATTTCTCTCCCTATCTCATCTGATGTAAAGGACCAAGGCTAATAGTGGACAAATCTAGCTTAGAATGTGCTGGGAATCAAGATGCAATAACTTGGGACATTGTTTGTATGCTGAGCAGGGCAGCCGGCTCTTTCTATACTATAATTGTATGTATTTTAGTCAATTTTGCTCCTGCTTGAGGTTGAGGTCTGTAGCTAAGATATTCTCCTCCTTTTGATACATTTCTTTTTAGATATAGTCACATACACAAGCTTACTATCATCTGTAGGCTCTGGCAATACAAGAGAACATGTACAGCTACCTCTCTTTCATGTTTGTATTCAATTGACATTAAATTTTTATTTTTATTTTTTTTTGCCTTCACACCATGAGCACCAAGACAATGAGTAAGCTAGAGCCTTTCTTATTGAGCCCCTATAAGTGGTTTCTTCATCTTCTACACTAATCTATCTATAGATATTACTTTCACCTCATTTTACTTAAATTTCTGATCCACACCTGACTGACCAGCAAGCAACTGATGACCTTGCTCATTGTCTATATCAGCTACAATGTATACTGTGACATTGAAAAAACTAAAATTGGGCTGAAGTTCTAATAGGAAGGTGGTATAAGAATATGCTCAAGCAAGAGGGTTGCAGTGGTTAGGGTGGAGAATATCTGATTTGAACTAATCAAAGGCATCACCAGAAAGGAAGAAGATAGTGTACAGTGTTGTACCAGCCAATGAGACAGGTGTCTTGGAACCAACAATTATAGACCAGCTTGCCTCAGAGTTGTTCTAGTAATCTTCAATAGTACATTTTATTTAATATATATCTTCCTCTAAAGGCATCTGTATATATTCTGATACTAAAATCCTGCAATCTGAGGCAAATTAGCACTATTATGAACTTATTTGGTAATTTGTATCACCTGAATGTCATTCTGGCTCATAGAAACTTATGTATATATTCACATATGATGTAGGAATACTATAGAATACTATAACAAGAGGTATGATGTTCGTAGGAGTGTTACCTTCACCAGTGAGTTTCTTTTCACCTCTTGTTAAGTCACATCAGAGGTTATCATATATGGAACAAAGGCTAAACCAACCAAATCAAGTTTAACTGTAAGTTGCAGAAAGACTCTTAGTGCTGCAAAAATCAACTGATAGACAAAATACCTCATATTTCTTGGTGTAGATGAGTGAGAGAGCATCAGAAAAGACATAGTACACTGAACGAAAGATCTGGTAGTGCTAATCAAGGTTTGATCCTGATCCTAATTTGGTATATCAGGTGTGATGTGATATATCTCACTGGCCTGTATTGCCCTGATCTTGGATTTTTTCACTGATAATGTCTGATATAACCTTCTCCCTTCCTGATAAGCATATATTTCTTTGTAAGATGATATTTTAGACCCTAAAGATGATTTTCATCTGACTTGATCTCCAGCCTGCTGTCTCCTTTGGTGCACCCAAAGCTGGTTTAATTTTGGCATCTCACTGGCCTATATAACACCATAGTTGATCTTTGTGACCTCCAACCAGAATGCATTGAGTCAGTTATTAAAGTTCAACTGAAGAAAAACAATGAAAGCTTTGAGTTTGCAGGGGTCTGAATTATCAAAGATATCTGGTTCCTTGATCTTAATGTGTATAGCATACTGACTATTGCTGTTGACAGCATGAGAGATGCTATAGAGAATATTTATGAGTTGGATGAGGATTTGGGCATCATTATCAAGAAGATTAGGGTTGTTACCAGAGTTGTTATTAAGACTTTTCTCAGATCCACTGGGTCTGTCAGGGCCATCAGGATTGGGTGGGCCACTATCAGGGTTGCCTGTTGGGTGCCAATTGCTACCAATTGGAGTGTAGGGAATATCCTCTTCTTTAGAATTTTGATCATCATTGTTGCAACCTAGGTTTTCCTGAAACAAAGACATGGGAGAGGATGAATTCCAGTTAATCTTCACAGTTGAGATTAAAGCATTAGAGGTTTCTCTGAAAAATGGGGAACAAGTAGTTACTATAGTATACTAGTCAACAAGTTGAAAAAGAAAAGAATATTATCAAACACACTGACTGTTTCTTTACACTAACTATTACTTGTTATGCCTTTAGCCTTATAGATATAAAAAAAAAAAGCTGATAAAAAGTGCCAATACTAGTTACATGTTGAAGTACGCTGTTCAGCTTAGATAAGCAGGACTCCAGGATTAGCAGAGAACCCTCGCAAACATGCAAGGGGCTCGATTGTAAGGTACTTTACTTATATACTTCTGTAAACTATGGATAGGAGAAATGATATTAAAGGGGGAATGATAACGGATGTGCAATGTATTTGGCAACTCAACATTACACACTCAGGAAAAAAAAACTAATACCTGTGTTGCATGTCCCTGAATAGTGATTAATTTATTAAAAACCTAACATTAGTCAAAACAAAAGCCAAGGTCAATGAAAGAAACACTTATCGGGCTCACTATGCTAGGTTGTGATCAATCTGCAGATATGACTAGTCACAATAGTGACCCAAGTATTACTCATTCCAGCAAAGCCAAAGCTAGTATCAACATTGTCAATAGTATACAAGATTATAGCAGACTAAAGAGAGCAAAAAGAAAAAAAAGATAA